AAGAAAATAGGTTTGTGAAAAATGTTGATCAAAAAAAAAATACCGTAGAATTTTATTGATCAGTAAAATATAAAAAACTATAAGTTTTTAAACAATCTCATGAATTATAGTTTGTAAATACTAAAAAGTTTTTTTTTCAAATTTGCATGATGATTTAAAAACTCTATTTTTAGTTAACTAAATTTTTTTTCTACTTACTCTCGAGTCCTTAATAAAAAAATGCTAGGGAGGGGGGGGGGGCTTATGTTAATTTTTGGAAAATTAACATACAGCCCAAGCTTATTAAGTCCCCCTCTCATTTAATAATTTTTACTTGTTATCAACAACAACAACAAAAAATCAATGAAAATTGGCCTTAAAAATTAGAAAATAGTTATTTCAGCCACTGATAAAAACAAACACTTTCAGCGTAAACAGGCTTTTAAAATCTCGATTAGTCAAAAACGAGCTTTTGGCTTTCTCACCAAAGCACAGTGGGCCACTGACTGGACAAAAGTATAAAAATCAAAGTCAGAATTTTGATGTCGTAATGGTTTTAAACCTTTTTATAGATATTATGAAACAATTTAAAACCTTTTATATACATCTAAAATTTTAATGAATAGACTAATTAAGTGGTTAAAGTATATGCAAACGTAAATTAGAAAAAAAATATTATAAAGCAAAAAATGTTGTTTACAAAATCTATGGTAATATTGTAACACTGTATTAAATATTGCGCATTGAAAATTATTTTATTGTTGAACTGTCTATTTTCTGCATTTTAAGAGTTGTTAGATTAAAATAGGTAAAAAAAAAAATAAGTTATAATAGTTTTAAATACTTCATTAAAAAAATATTTGAAGTGTGTTTTTTGATTTAAAAAATAAAAAAAATAGAAGATCTTGTAGTATCCTGTTATTTTATATACATATTTTGAAGCTTTTATATCCATATCATGAAAATATATTTAATTTAGCTGCTAATATTTGCTAAATTAATTTTTATTTGCAATGATTTGCAAAAATATTCAGGGGCGGATCCAGCATTTTTTGGTGTTTGAGATAGCTAACTTCCAGACATGGAGCAAACTCCAAACATTTATATGTTTATACTTATATCAAATAAGGATGGTTTGCAAAAACTTGCGATGATTGGAGCCTGGGAACAAAAAAGCCCCAAAATTTGAAACATACCTGCCCCAAACGCGAGAGCAACAAGTTGATAAAATATTTTTTGTACTATTCTCAACAAGACTTATATTTATCTATAAATTTTAAATTTCATTGTAAAATATTTCAGCGTTCAAAAATTATGACCATGTAAAGTTTGAATCCGCCTCAATTCGAGGGGGTTACAATTTTTTTATGGTCATAATTTTTGAGCGCTAAAATATTTTATTATGAAATTTAAAATTTATTGATAAATATAAGTCTTGTTGAGAATAGTATAAAAAATATTTTATCAACTTGTTGCTCTCACGTTTGGGACAAATATATCTCAAATTTTTGGGCTTTTTTGTTCCCAGGCATTAATCATTGCAATTTTTTGCAAACCATCTTTATTTGACATAAGTATAAACATATAAATGTTTGGAGTTAGCTACATGTCTGGAAGTTAGCTATCTCAAACACCAAAAAATGCTGGATCCACCCCTGATATTATATAAAATATAACATCGCGAACAAAATAACACAATATGTTATAATATAATGAATATTTTGATTCAAAAAATAAAACTATTAAATTATAGTATTTATTATGTCAAGCATTAATAGAAATCAAATCCATTTATTTATAAGAGAAAACAAATTATCATTATCAAATGAAAAAGATAAGCTGGTAGTTTTTAATTTTAGACTTTATTAGTCCCCAACAAACCTTTTCTTTATGCAATACAGAAACTTCACCTAAATTATCTCTTGGCAGGCTTTGTAAATCATTTGAAGAATCATAAATCTAAAAAGAGGAAAGTGTCAAAACTTGAATCATTGGCAAGTTCTTCAAACGAGCTGTTGGTTGCTAGCAGTTGCAAACTTTGGATACAAGGAGGGAGAAAGCATGCTAAGGTTAATAAGGAAATTTATCAAAAACTCAAACTGATGAACATGTTCAAAATACTCCCAATGAAGCCTTAGCACTCATCTTAGATAATAATCTGAGCAAGTCTGATTATCTGCGCCTAAGGAACAATGCTGTAAGAAAAGGCTGTAATTTATATCCAGCTTATAATAATGTACGGGAAGCAAAAGTACTTTGTCTTCCAGAGAATAACCTATGAACTGTCACTGACTATTCTGCAGAGGTCAACATGCAAGCATTGGTCAATCATACAGCACTACGTTTAATAGAATGTCAGGCAGAAGTTATTAACTCCTTAGAAGATCTTTTACGAATGACCCTAAGGTTCAAAGTTGGCTTTGATGGATCAACTGGCCAAAGCCTTTATACTCAAATAACAACAGAACAAGAAAACAGAAATATTACAAATGAAGCCAGCTTATTCCTCACTTGCTTTGTGCCTTTGCAGTTATCTGGATATTGTAATGGCGAAAAGAAGATTATTTGGTCCAACCCTCATCCATCATCCACTTTATTTTGCAGACCAATAAGATTCTCCTATAAAAAAGAAACATCAGATGTATTAAAAGAAGAAGAACAATTCCTTTACAACTCAATAGAAAAATTATTTACTACAAAGTATGACAAATTAACAGTTCTGCACAAAATTGAAATTACAATGGTGGATGGGAAAGTTGCCTCAGCACTATCCACAGCAACAAAATCATCGCAATGCTGCTCAGTTTGCGGTTGCAATCCAAAAAAAAAATGAATGACTTAAATACTGCAAAAAATCTCCCAATTACTAAAACTGGACTCAATTATGGGCTTTCAACTCTTTATGCATGGATTAGAACTATGGAATGCCTTCTCAAAATAAGCTACAAATTAACAATCAACAATACAAAATAACAATTAACAATACAGAAATGGTCAACACGAGAACCATCAGAAAAAAAAATAATTCAAGATAGAAAGACATCAATTCAAAAGAAACTTTGTGATAAAGTTGGGCTTTTAATTGATTTTCCAAGGACTTGTGGTTCAGGATCTTCAAACACTGCCAATACTGCTCGACGATTTTTTCAAAATGCAGAGAAGACTGCTGAAATTCTCCAACTAGATGTCATCATCATTAAGATGTTGCACGTTATTTTGTGCACTTTATCGTCACAATATGTTAGTGATTCTTCTTAGAGATATCTATTTTAGAGACTTCTGCATGCAAACAGCTGAACGATATGTGAACCAGTATCTATGGTACCACATGCCACAGAGCCTGCACCGAATTCTTATTCATGGTTGGCAAGTTGTGGATCGAATGGCTTTGCCAATTGGCATGCTCAGTGAAGAGGCACAAGAAGCACGTAATAAGGACTTCAAGAAGATCCGGGAGTCTTTTTAAAGAAAGTGTTCCCGTTCTAAAACAAATGAAGACTTGTTAAGGAGATTGATGTGTTTATCTGATCCAATTATTAGTAATTTGAGAGCACCACATCATCCAAAGAAGCACTTTCCAGATGGAGTGCTAAAGCTGCTAAAAGAAGTACTACTTAAAGATTTTGTGTAAATATATTATATTATTACATTTTTACTGCAATGTTACTTAAATTGTGTTTCTGTTTTCATTTTTTCTGCTTATCTGTTTACTATATTTTTATTGCTACAAATTAACGATGTTATAACGACATTTTGTTTACCCCATTGTAACTAAGGATATTGTAACTAAGCAATATAAATATCTGTAGCAACAAAATAAAAAAATAGTACCTTCATAAAAAACGCACACATCATATTAGTACCCATGCTAATTTTAGTAAATATAGCACTCGTGAAATATCTGGAAATCCCAAAAATAGGTTGTTGCTAAGCAAAATAAAGGTATCCATAGCAACGAAATAAAAAAATAGAACCTTCATAAAAAGGGCAGACATCATATTAGTACTCGTGCTAATTTTAGTGATTATAGCCCTAATATTAAATTAGTTATGAATTTTGTCCAATAAAAGTGAATTCTGGCCCACTGTGCAAAGTATAAAACTTATATCAGTGTATGTCCAATTTAATTATTATAAAACAGCTGTTCGAAAATGCATATTTGACCGCAAGCCACGCTAGAGTTAAGTAGTTTATGCGTGTTTTGTAAAAAATATTAGTTTGGATTTATAAACTGAAATTTTTTATAAAAAATACTTATATTGTAACATAAAAAATTTCCAACCCCCTCCTTTTAATTGCCCCCTCCCCTGTTTTTTCGTCCATAAAATACGTCACGCATTTTTGACAGATTTTGACCCCCCCCTCTCTCTTTCGTCACAAAATCGTAACACTTAAGAAGCAAGTTTTGTATGAGTCGTCACAAAACTACCAACCCCTCTCTCCCCCTTATAGCGTGACGTAATTTATGGACGACCCCTATGGACTAAAATTCCCACTCATTACATTTTTATACCCCTCCCCCTTCATTCTTCCCTTGTGTTAAGGACTCAAGAGTATTTAATATTGTTAGATTACTTATATTTAACTGATTATAAATGTACTTTAAAATTTTTTCAAAATGTTTTTTAAAAAAATTTTATGTTGTAAATAAATAAGGTGGCGAAATTACCCCAACTTATATTTTATTGGGGTAATTTCGCCACCCAGTTTTTTATGTTTCTATTAATGAAAAAATTTATATTTTTCTTAAATTTTTGAAGTTAAAACAAAATTTTAATAAGAATAATTTTTTTTTAATTTTTGGTTTCTTAAGTTATTTAAATTTAAAGAATTGGTGGCGAAATTACCCCAATAACATTTTACTCTATTCTTATAGAGCCAATGTTTCTTAATAAATCTAATATATAAAGAAGTATATAAAAAGCTTTTTCTGAAAGAAAAAAAAAAAGTTCAACTTATTCAAAAACTGTTTAACAAAACCTTTTACTCTTAAACTTTTAATTCTGTATTTTTTATTTTAGGTCTTGTTACAATGGCAGTGTTGAAAACATGACTAACTTAATCTATCCTTCGTATTTATGGACACCGTTCTTATTAGCGATTTAAATTTTAACTTAATAATATCATGGACGATTTAAAAAAAAAAAATTTTAATCAAAAGCGGCATACAATACAAAAAAACATTTTTATTTAAACAAAATATTTACAGTAAATTTTCAGGTTTTAATTATGACTTAAATATTACAAGTAATCCGAAATCATATTCAGGATTATTATTTCTCCTACTTAATTTGTGCGCTAATATTTTTTTTTATCGATAACCAATCGCAGTTTCTTTAAAGTATTTAAAAAGAGAAACTTTTATATATTAAGTATTTAATAAAAAATTTATAAATTTTTTTTTTAACGTGAGAATTTTTCAAATATGCTGTATAAATTATAAATTTTTTAAAAAATTTAATGTTGTTAAAAATTTTTTATGTAATAAACAAAAAAACGAAAAAAAAAAATTATAAGTTATGCAGTATTAATAAATTTGTAAACATAAAAGTGATGGTCAGTCATCAATTTGTAGGAATAAAAGTGATGTTCATCAATTAATAGGTAAAAAGGTGGTGGTCGTCATAGGGCAAACTTATTTAAAAAATGCTCTGAATTTGTTTTTAGTTAATGTATTTTTTTACATTTTATAAGTCGTTTATTCTTATTATTGTTTATCATTTATAAAAACGAAACCAGTTAAATTATTTCAACTGGTTTATTATTTTAACTAGTTTATTACCTTTCAACTTTTTAGAAATTAACTTTTTATCGGAATAAGTAAAGATGTAACATGACTTCTTTCACGATTTACTGATTTTTTATATCATTATCCAAACGAAAAACTAATCTAAAAAATCAAATCAGATAAAAACTTTATTAATATGAGAAACGTTATTTCAAAAAACTTGTCAATTTCATAGAAGAAACTAAAATTTGTTAAATATTTGTTTATCTGAAAGTTGGATTAACTCTAATTCATTCGCTCTACTTTATATTAGGTGCTCCTGGATTACGTAACCTAATCTTGAGAAAAACCTAATGTCATAAGCCTGAAGTTTTGCACGCTCAAATCCAAATTTAATTATTCGAGGCTATAACTGCCCAAATTTTTTCATGGTTAGATGGTCACAGTCACAACACGTGGAGCTCAAGTTTATACTGCTGCGCTTTAGAAACCTAAATTTCGCAAACAATTTTTGCACTTGAAGTTTAACGCACTCCTTTAGCAACATAATAAACCATCATAGATAATAATTGCTAATATAAAGTATTAACAACTTAAATAAAGGCGCAACACCTTCTAATGCTACCAGTTTTCATTTCAAGTTGTTAATATGCCAAGTTTTCAAGAGCATGTACTGTACTCAAGAACATGTACTGAGTTTAGATCCTTAAAGTTTTCAAGAACATGTACTGAGTTTACATCTATAAAATTTTGAAGAACATGTACTGAGTTTACATCCTTAAAGTTTTGAAGAACATGTACTGAGTTTACATCCTTAAAGTTTAATATTATTATTAATAATCATATTAATAATGGTATTAATATTAATAATCAGATTATATTATTAATAACTTGAAATTTTTGGCTAAAAAATCTGATCATTAATATTATTATAGGTAATTACGTATAAAGGCATAAAAGACGTGCTGGCAACACACTAAACAATAACACATTTCGTAGGTGATTGCATAGTTATCAACCAATAGAATAAAGGCATAAAAGACGTGCTGGCAACACACTAAACAAAAACACATTGCGTAGGTGATTGCGTAGTTATCAACCAATAGAATTATATTTTATATGCTTTATATATAGGACTATATCTCATTTGCGTGATATACATTAAAATCATGTGTAGTATATTATCTTATAGTTATTACATGTAATACATGTAACACAACTGTATACAGTTGTGCATTATCTTATGGTTAAAACATTATTTGTTAAGGGGGAAAACCTCTCAAAAAAATTTATTTTTTTGATTTTTTTTTGAAGTCATCTTTTCAAACTTGTACACAATTAACACCAGCTTTCTACAAAAATAAAGAAAAATAGACAAGTCTAAGACAGAATATAATAGTGTAAGAGTTAAATTTTTTACTAAAAGTCTTCGAAAACGTAAATTTACCTTTATTAATTTAAAAAAATAAGAAAAATTTGTAAATATTGGTGTAAATAATGTTAATAGAAATGATGTAAATATTGTAAACTCTGTAAATATTGAAAGTGAAAGTATATTTATAAGTGCATCAAAAAAAAAGTGAAACAAGTAATGGAACCAAGTGGAAACTCAAAATGTGTCAGTGGCTACAGGGTTATTGATATAGAGATTTTTAACTTCCATTTTTGATAAACTTGGGTGTCCAGAATATTTGTGACCATCACAGTTGTCGTTAAACGAGAATAAAAAGTCTTAAAAAGGATATGTATCAAATATATCTTTATCTAGTGTTTGTGGTTTTAAATTAGACTTTGATACATCAAAAAATGTAGGTATGATATTAATAAAAGATTGGTGTATGCCATGGTCTTGGTCTTGGTCACTTGGTCAAGTTAGTCAACACTTGGTCAAGTTGGTTAACACTTGGTCAAGGCCAAGCTGGTCCACTTCGGTTTACCACTCTTATGAATATCCCAAAAGGATTATGCAATAAAAGCTACAATGTTCAGAAATTGACATTGTTCAGAAATTGTTCAGAAACTGTTCAAAACATTGTTCTGAAATTGACAACTGCAGTTCAAACTATGAATAAAGCTGTACAAGAACACAAGGGCGGCAAATCTCCTAATGAGATTGTAGATACTGGAGTTTTTGTTGATGAAACATGGCAAAAAAGGGGATATAGTTCACACAATGGGGTGACCGCAACAATATTGATCGATTGCAAAATTATTTTGGTATTTGCATCAGTCAAAATTATGGCAACCTTAAGGTATGAGATCTTCAGCCTCAGCAAGTTTATTTTATGTAGCATCTTCAAGCAAAAATAATTACCATTACCCGCATTGTCCCACAGGTAAAGACAATTGGTGTAAATGCAATTAGGATTAAGCTTATGGAACCAATGTTTATAAACCAGGACCAGGTCTTCCTATTGTACTTAAATTGAACCCCATTTCTGTAGAATTAACATCAGATGCTTACTTAAATCTTTTACTTCATGGAAAAAAACAGAACCAAATTTAAAGCTTTAATGATATGATATGTTCCAGAATACCTGTGTCAAAGTATGTTTTGCTTACGCAACTTTAATTTGGATTTTATGATGCTATTGGAGCCTTTAATATTGGATTAAAGTCTAGTATCCTTATATATAAAAGACTTAATATGATACCAGAACAGCATATCATTTTTGGATGCAATTATCTAAACCAGAGAAGAATTTTTTTTTTGTTTTTTTTGTTTTTTTTTGTTTTTGTTTAGGTGCCCCAAGAAGTCCTAACGGTCTTGTCACAGAGCACCGCGGAAGTGCGTTTAACCAGAAAGTTCACGCCTCCTTTTTTACCGTGACGCGAAATATGTCCAAAGCTCGTTTCGAACCTGGATCTCCTGCTTATAAAGCAAGCGCTCTAACCACTGCGCCACGGCCGCACAATTATTTGAATTAGCATGTCAGAGTATAAAAATCAAGATACCATTATGGATTAAAGGAAGATTTTAAGAGGCCTTAAACATAAAAAATCTGACAAATTTAAACAAAATGAAAGAAATATGTATTGGGCTGGTGTTCATGATTAAAAACTACTATTAATATGCTCTTTTTATATAACATTTTTTTGTTTTTTTGTTGTTTTTAAATATTTTTCATCACAATTTTAACTTAACTGTCATTTTTCTTAGAACGCATATTTTTAATCTCCCGCAGAAGTATCTTGAGAACCGCTTGACCGATTTAAATTAAATTTTCAGGAAGTATTCCTCTAATAAAGATGTATGCAATGAACAGACAACTTTTTAAAAACGTTTTTTAAACTTAAGAAATTAAAGAAAACGTTTATCATTTTTGTGCTTAAAAAAATTTGCCAAAATTAAACAGGCCTACCACCTGACAAAAAGTTGTTTGCAAAAACTGTCTGCTTATTGCATAGATCTATCTTTCTACTATAAGTTGAAAAAAAATCAGCTGAAAATATCATTCTTATAACATGCAATCTTTGCCAGGGTGAGTAAATAATTTGACATTTTCCCTTAGATACCATGTTGCTATGGTAACGAAGTGCCATTTTTTTATGATAAATCTTAACATTTTGTGTACTTTTATTTGGAACATGTAATAACTTTGTTATTGCTTTACTTTAGAAAATAATTTTTGAGGGGTTTTTCCCCTTAAATGTGAACTTATACAAATTGTAACGGAAGACAACGCATCGCATTTATTAATTTTTTTTTTTTTAATTTTGCTACATTAAAATACCATAGTACAATTATATATGCCATATATATTGTGTTACAATTAAATTAATTACAATATTTATCAGCATAAATAAAGTAAGAAAAAACGCACACATATATTTACGCACATATTATATTTATATATACATATATAAATATAAACCATAGGCGTGTCTACGGGTCTTGCCTGTCATGCACAGGCATGACCTGCAAAATTTGACCTAAGTTACGTTATAAATTGCTATAGCAATCTCGATATAACAATATATAATATACATACCCTACAATATACTACAATATACAACAATATACATACCCTACTTAATAGTGTTAGTAGTAGTGCTGTTAGTGATCCTTCCTGCGTTTTTTAACGTTTTTTCAACCATCAAACTTCTGTTTGATGGTTGAAAAAACCATCAAACAGTAGTTTAATTATAAAAATGGATGGAAAAAAAAGACTTTCATAGATAGAAAGCCTTTTTTATTATTTAGTTACTCATAATTTTTACATTTATATATTGAAATATTTTACTTTTTTTCAATAATTGAAAATATCTAACTGAGGAAATCAAGAATATATTTTTTTAGGGGGTGATGGGGCTGCAGGAACCTTCACCCCCTGAATACGCTTCTGTTGTGCACAACCTACAAATAAGGTCTGGACGCGCCTATGATATATGCTTATATATCAGTGACGGATCCAGGAATTTTTGTTGAGGAGGGGAGGGGAATGATGTTGAAATTTTTTTGTATTTTGTACCATATTTGCGTCTCCTAAAAAAAAAAAGGTTCTCAATTTCTAAGATATTTTAGGACTTTTAGA